AAAAAAGGACTGCCCCCGCCCCATTTCTGAGGCCAGTCGCAAGTCCTGGGACACGTAGACTTCTGACAGACCGGCTACGAATTGGGAATTCCTACCATCCCTCCTCCTCAGGTTCAATAATTGGCTAGAAGAGCTCACGGAAGTCAGGAACACTCTGTATTTACATTTACAGCTTTGTTATAAAGGATATAACTCAGAAACAGCTGAACAGAGGAGCCGGGGAGGGCAAGGTATGGGGGAGACGAGCGTCCGTCCCCGCTCTGGGTGTGTCTCCCTCCCAGGTCCTCCTTGAATTCACCAACCAGGGCTCCCTGAGCACCCAACATCATTAGTTATGGGTTTATATGCAGCTTGTTTATAACAAGCAGATAGGGCCTGCCAAGGACAAGACAATTGTGCCTACATTTTTCCAATTGAGTTCGGATGGTGGGTGCCCAACTGTGAACTGCATTAAATGAAGTATAATGCAGTGATTAAAGGAAGTGGTGGTCCCACTATATTCGGCTCTGCAGACCTCTTCTGGGCTGCTTTTATCTGGTTCTGAGCATCCTGTTTTAATACAAATCTGGGGAAATGGCCAGTGACCACTAGAGGGCAAGGCGATGATGAAGGGTCTGTAGTGCATGGACCGATGAAACATTTTGACCCGGAGAATAAATGGCAAGACACATGATAGTGGCCTCCAAATATTAGTTTGTAAAGATCCAGAAACCAGCATCATGACCAATGGTAGCTATTTCAGAAAGGTTGATTTTTTTTTAACTCAATGGGAGCCCAGTACACATAAAGAAAACTGCACAGATCTTAAATGTGCAGCTTGAAGAATTTTCTCGAGCTGCACACACTGAATCACCACCACTCAAATCAAGAAACACAACATTAATACCCAGAAGTCCCTCTCCAGGAACTCTCCTCCAAAAGGGTAATCACCTGATTTCTAATACCAAAAATTAGTTCTCCCTGCTTCTGGGCTTTTCATAAGTGGAACGTCATAGCACATCTGACTTATTTTGCTCATCGTCATGTCCATGAGTCTCACTGATGCTGTTTCATGCAACAAAGTTCATTCAGTGTCATTGTGTACAGTGTTTTCCATTCTACTCTGGATGGGCATTTGGGCAGCTTCTGGTTTGGGCTATTATGAACGGTGCTGCTATGAAGAATGTCATACAAGGCATTCACCGCATATGTGGATGCATTGGGTCAACACCGAAGAGAGGAAATTTCTGGATCACAGGGTATGTATATTTTCAGCTTTAGCAAGCACTGCCTCATAGTATTCCAAAATGATTTTTCAAATTTGTATTCTTAGCATCAGTGTAGGAGAGTTCCAGTGGCTCATGTTATTCCCGATACTTGTTGGCCTGTCTTTCTCCGTTTACCCATTTTGCTGAGTATGTAGAGTTATTCGTGGTGGTTTTAATTTCACTTCTTTGGTGAGTAATCACACTGAGCATCTCCCCATCTGCTTAGTGCCCATTTTCTTATTCTCTTTTGTGAAGTGTCAGCACAAGTCTTTTGTCCATTTTTCTACTGAGTTACCTTTTTCTTATTTATTGTACCAGCTATTTATATATTCTGGAAATGAGTCCTTTGTTGGGTATATGTTCTGCCAACACCCGGAAGACATAGATTTCAGTCTGATGTAAAGAACCTCTTTATTAATAGAAGAGTCCAAAGAGAACACAGGTGGCCACAAATTAAAGATATTGAGGAGAGAACCCTGCACTGGGAGTATGGGCCACTTATGGATAACATTCTATAGTTAATCAAATCATGTACCTATTCCAGACTTCATTTGAGCCTTTATACAACCTGAGGAGATAACACTGATACCTGCTCATTTTAAAAATTCCTGTTTTAGGGGAGCCTGGGTGGCTCGGTCATTAAGTGTCTGCCTTTGATCTGCCATGATCTCAGGGTCCTGGGATCGAGTTCCACATTGGGCTCCCCGCTCAGCGGGATGCCTGCTTCTCCCTCTCCCACTCCCCCTGTTTATGTTCCCTCTGTAACTGTGTCTCTCTCTGTCAAATAAATAAATAAAATCTTCAAAAAAAATTCCTTTTTTAGGGTGATGGTATTAAGGAAGGCATGTGTGGTGATGGGCAATGGGTGTTATACGCAACTAATGAACTGTTGAACACTACGTCAAAAACTAATGATGTGGGATGCATGGGTGGCTCAGCAGGTTAAGCCTCTGCCTTTGGCTCAGGTCATGATCTCAGGGTCCTGGGATCAAGCCCTGCATTGGGCTCTCTGCTCGGCAAGGAGCCTGCCCCTCCCCCCCACCACCACCTGCATCTCTGCCGACTTGTGATCTCTCGCTCTGTCAAATAAATAAATAAAATCTTTTTTAAAAAACTAATGATGTATTATATGTCAGTTGATTGAACATAATAAAAAATAAAAATAAAATTCCTGTTTTATTTTTAAGGCTGGCTGGCTTCCTAGGGCTGGCCCTCTGTCCTTACAGCGTATGCTCAGTGAGTGATGAAGCTAGTAAGGCTTCTACCTTTTGCTGTGAATCTGTGTTAGGCTTGGGGAACACATTCAAAATTTAGGCCAAATCTGCCCCAGCTTTTACTTTCTGTATGTGCAAGCCCTCACATTTGGCCAAGGATCAGTAGACTGCTAGGACCTGTCCATTGTCCTTTATGAGCAAGCATGTAGCTGTCTACACAGCCTTCCTGACTACCAAGAATATGTGGAAGCCCATTCAAATACCAAAGCCCATTATGACTGTCATGTTCCCCAGATCTTCCTGTAAATTCTGGCTGTTCTGCTGCTCGTCCCAATCAGTATCACCACCTCAGGCTAATTGTGATGTTGGCCTCCTCTGACTGCCACAAAAACCACTATTATTTTGACAATGCCCCAAGCACGTATTTTTCCAAATGCTGCTCCCAGTCAAGTCGGCCTCCCCTGGCAGTGAGGTTACAGGTCCTCACAGCCTGCCTTGCCTGGTGGAACTATTGCTCCATGTAGCTGAGGGGGATGTGGCAGCAGCTCCTGGCCAGGAGGCCATAGATTCCCACCATTCTCACCAAGGTTTTGTAGTTTTTCTTGAATAAATGCTTCTCCATCTGTTCCATGCCTTTGGTCAATTTCCAGTGCTGAAATGGCTGTTTTTGTCGGTTTCCCATTTTATTACTGCCCTTTGGGGAGAGGATTTCCAGAGCTCCTTACCCAGAAGTTCCCAAAGTTCCCTCCCCGCCGTTTTTAAGGAGGCTCTCTAGAAGACGCTAGAACACTTTGTCTGCAAGGGAAACCCTTGCAGAAAGTATCTTACTGATCACACAGGAAAGCCATTGTGAGGGTGGAAGGGGATTGTACAAGGGCAGAGATACAGGGGAGAGGATCATAGGGATTGTCGTGGAGGCTGGCTACCATGCCATCCTCTCCTCTCACCTGGGCTACTATGATCATTCCTTAACTGAGTCTGTTTTTGTCTCCGCAAAATCTGTCCTCAGCCTTTGTCTGCAGCCAGCAACCCTCTTACATCTAATGTCACTCTTCTGCTCAAAATTCTGTAACAGCTTTTCATAGCCAAAGAAAAGCTAGTCTTCACCATGGCTCCAAGGTCTTACATCATTTAGCCCTCATTGCCTCTCTGATTAATCTTTTACCACTTTGTTCCTCACTCACTCCACTCTGCACAAATGCTATGCCTCAAACACACTAAACAGACTTCTGTCCCAGGCCCCTTGCACTGGCTCTTTCCTCTGGTCGGGATGTTTCTGCCCAGATAACCATATTGTTGGTTCATTCGAGTACCACCTGCTCAAACTGATCTTCAAGTACTCTTGCCATTTCCTGCTTTATAGTACTTAATACGTTATCTGGTTTCCTCTCCCAGGACATAAGCTCCACAAAAGCAAGGGGTTTGCTCTGTTCTTGCCAAAGTCACATGCAAGGAAAATATTTACGTAATAATTAAATAAGTGGGGGCGCCTGGGTGGCTCAGTGGGTTAAGCCTCTGCCTTCGGCTCAGGTCATGATCTCAGGGTCCTGGGATCGAGGCCCGCATCGGGATCTCTGCTCAGCAGGGAGCCTGCTTTCTCCTCTCTCTCTCTCTATGCCTGCCTCTCTGCATACTTGTGATCTCTCTCTGTTTCAAATAAATAAATAAAATCTTTAAAAAAATAAATAAATAAGTGGGCTAATGAAAGTGGCTGTTAGGCCCAGCTCTGCCCTGTTGATAGGGTGATTTATGTATAGGAGACAAGGCAATTATGTATATGAGACAAAGGCTAAAGAAAATGGGCATTTGAGTAGGGGGATGGAGAAACTGTAGCTATTAATAAATAAGCAAGAAAGGGAGGTGTGGGGTAAGTCAGGAAATTAACTGTATGATATGAAATAAATCCCTCACATATGTAAGTCTATGAAGTCTAAAAAAAGGCACGAAGTTTAATTTGAAGGAATAACATTATGTAGAATTATGAAAACTCAGAGAAATAAAGGAAGTTTATCCATGAGTTGAAAAGAACAGACCAGTATACTATAGTTAAAGACATGAAAAGACTGTGAAAAAATATATTAATGTCTATGAAACTATGGCGGGAGCTTCTCAGGGCATGCCCTCCGCATGGGATGAATGTTTCGGGGCCGCACTTGATGGAAGGACAGGATCTCCCTGATCTTGTCTTGGCAAATCTTGTTTGCTGCTACCCCTGCTTCAAACTCTCGGCGTTCCTCCTCCTTCTGCGCTTCCCGGGCCTGCTGCTGGTAGGACATTTGCATCTGAAGCTGCTTTCTGTACTCCTGGGCCAAACTGGAGCGCCTGTGGTATTAGAAATGTCAAAGTACAAAATTGTAAAAGCAAGCATTTGGATTCATTTAGGGCATCATAATTAAAATGTAACTTTTGAAGTCAAATTAAAATTCCCATTAAAATCAGGGTGATATAGGAAAAAATAGACGGAAAATTCAATAATGTGTTTATTTACACAATAATAATTAAGATAAACAGAACAAATATTGATTTTAGGGAGGGAATACTTCTGGCCCCCTCACAACATTTCCTGCTATCTGGAGTGAGTCCTTGGCCTCTCTCCAGCCCCTCTCCCACTCTTCTCTGAGAAGAAATGACTTCTCTACTCGTCAAACCAGGAACAGACTAGTCTGCAGGTTTTCCACTCTGCTGTCAAAGGGCCACTCGCCTGCTGGAGAGAGCCGGAGCAGGCTGGCATTGCTGGGGCCTGGCGGGGTGAGTGTGCCTCATTCTGTTCAGCATGAACTAGACGATTTCCTCCGCACGTAAGCCACACGTTAAACATATAAACCACATTTTAAATTTTATAGTGTGTTGTTTCGTTTTGTTTTGTTTTTACTGTGGTAAAAAAACACACAACGTAAAATTGACCACTGAACGATTTTTGAGTGTCTAGTTCAGTAGCGTTCAGTACATTCACGTTGCCGTACATCAGTTCTCCGGGACGTGTTCATCTTGCAAACTTGAAACACTCCACCCATTAAACAAGAGCTCCCTTTCCCCCCTCCCCCCAGTTTCTGGCAACCACCATTCTATTTGTTGTGTCTATGAATTTGACTACTCTAGGGATCTTGTATAAATGAAATCATACAGTACTTGTCTTTTTGTGACTGACTTATTTCACTTAGCATAATGCCCTCAAGGTTCATGCATGAGGAGGCATCTGACAGGATTTTCCTCCATTTTAAGGCTAACTAATATTCCGTTGTACGTATATAACATATTTGTTTTATCCATTCATGTGTTAATGGACACCTGGGTTATTTCCACCTCCTGGTTATTGTGAACTGTGCTGCTTTGAACATGGCTATGTCAATATCTCTTCAATGTCTTGCTTTCGATTATTTTGAATATACACCCAGAAGTCGGATTGCAGGATGACATGGTAGTTCTAGTTTTATTTTTTTTTTAAGATTTTATTTATTCGTTTGAGAGAGAGACAGAGAGAGCACAAGCAGGAGGAGAGGCAGAGGGAGGAGAAGCAGACTCCCCACTAAGCAGGGAGCCCCAAAGCGGGGCTCTATCCCACATCTTGGGATCATGACCCGAGCTGAAGGCAGACACCCAACCGAGCCTCCCAGGCGCCCCTATTTTTAATTTTTTGAGGAAACTTCATACTGTTCTCCACGGTGGTCATGCCATTTTATAATCTATAAGCTGCATTTTAAAAATATCCGCTTTTATCAGAAAAGAAAGAATGCACACACCTCTGTGGCAGAGTCCATTTTCTTTCTTTTTTTTTTTTTTAAAGATTTTATTTATTTATTTGACAGAGAGAGATCACAAGTAGACAGAGAGGCAGGCAGAGAGAGAGAGAGAGGGAAGCAGGCTCCCTGCCGAGCAGAGAGCCCGATGCGGGACTCGATCCCAGGACCCTGAGATCATGACCTGAGCCGAAGGCAGCGGCTTAACCCACTGAGCCACCCAGGCGCCCCCAGAGTCCATTTTCTAAAGATGGTCACAGCAGCATCTCCCTCCCATGCGCTCTCCTGCAATGTGGACCTCTAGTCCCCTCATCAAGAGGTGGAGCTTCTGTCTCCATCCCTTGAATTTGGATAGCCCTGGTGACTATTTTCATGACCAACAGATTATGACAAGTGATGCTACGCCGGTCCTAGGGGCAGCCCTTCACTGGCCTGGCAGCTTCCCCATCCTGTCTATTGGAACTCTGTCAGAACCAGCCACCACACTGTGAGAAGCCCCAGCACATGGAAAGGACACATGAAGTTGTTCTGGGGGGCAACACCGGATGAGTCCTCATCTACAGTCAGCACACGCTACCAGCTATATGAGTAGGTATCTTAGGTGTCCAGGACGGTTGAGCCCTCAGATGAATGTAGCCCTGGCTAATATCTGACTTGAACCACATGAGGGACCTCAAGGAAGAATCACCCAAGGGAGCCCTGTCAACCAGAGAACCGTCAGAGATAATCATAACTCACTTGAAGACACACATCGTGGGGCATTCGGTTATGTACCGATAGGTAGCTGTGATACCTTCCACACATACTGTTTTCCTTCTCTCAGTTGATTCAGAAGTTGGGCAGGGAAGCCTGTTGCTATTTATCAGGTCCCCCTCACATCTCCAACAATAAACTTCAAAAGTGAGAAGGAAAGACCTCCAGAGCAGAGGCAATAGCAGGAAATCAGTAGGGTAGGCCAGAAATTATTGTTAGTCCCCCCAAACATTAGGCTCACACTAGGCTCAGGTACATAAACCCGACTCTTTTCTAGAATGAAAAGAACTTATGTCTATGTACCAAGTATGTGTGTCATGGGACAGGGCCAAGGGACAGGAAAAGGGAGCAGCAATTAGAGGAACCAAGTCATCTTCCTCCACCACACTGGTCATCTGAATTGGGTATCTTGGTCATTGGTGGGAAAGGGGTGCTATGGTCCAAGAAATGCTGCCCGGACAGATCTGCCTATTTCCTCCACCAGAGCCTGGTGGTGGCTCTCAGAGGGGCCTTGTCAGAGGAAGGCAGTGGTATTTCCCAAAGTACCTAGAACATTTCAGTTTTCCCGCCCAGTGAGGCTACAGAAATTCTCCTGAGGACATTTTGTATGGACTCCCATTCTCAGAAGCCATTTCTGCTACTCCAACTAATCAAGTCACACTGAGTTTCAGGGTTCATTTCATATGAAAGAATAGTCTTCTTGTTATTTCATTAGTATTTAATGTTGGAGCCTATTTTTAAAAAATCGTTTTAACTTACTTTATTTTTTAAGGTATTCATTCATTTTAATACCTAATGTCTATAACCACAATGTACACAATAACAATAAAATTTAATTTTACCAAGATGTTTGGTGTTTATTTTTATATGGGATTTTGTAAAGTGACTGGAGCTTTTAGGACAAATGTAATATTGATGTAAAAAATGTCAGTAATGCATGAGTGAGGGCACATTGTCCTCTCCCTTCCCCCCTTTTAGGCAGTAAACAATAATAAAGGAAACGAAACCATACCTTGCAAAATTCTCCTTCTCTTCACGGTTAAGCTCTTTCAGACCTTCATTTATGCGTTCCTGTTCCATAGCACGTTCTTCCTGTTCTTTTGCCTTTCGTTGTACTTAAGAAAAACAAAAGTAATTTTTGGTAAGTGACTTTCTTCAGACAAGGCTTGCTGGCAATCCCTCTTGAGATCGGGGTCATCCTGTCTTTAGAGAGGCAGAGCCTATAATCACTGGACTGTGTCGTAGGTCAATAGGGTAAAAGCAGTCCTCTCCATCAAGGGAAGAAGAGGATTTAGGTTTGAATGTGTGTGATCTACACAGATTTTACTCTCAATGATTTTTCACTGAAAATCTATGATCAGCCTTTTTCAAACCAGATTATCACTATTAGAACACTTCTTACCTTTCTCATCTTGAGAACAAACAGTTCTGTTGTCCTTTATGTTAAAAAGAATTTATGACAAAATAATTAGAAAAGGTCTGAGTTTATAATATATAAGGCATTAATAAATTAAAATTTAAAAACATAGGCATCCAGTAAGGGTGAAAAAATAACAAAGAAACCAGACTTCACAAAAGAATGAATACAGTCAGCAAAAACACAACTGAAATGTACAACTTTGGCCCCCAAACCCATTTATAGGAACTTTTCTTAAATAATCATATATAAGCCAAGAAGAACTATGTACAGAGATAGTAACCTGCAATTCTAAAATAGTGGTAAAGGGCGCCTGGGTGGCTCAGTGGGTTAAGCCGCTGCCTTCAGCTCAGGTCATGATCCCAGGGTCCTGGGATCGAGTCCCGCATCGGGCTCTCTGCTTGGCAGGGAGCCTGCTTCCCTTCCTCTCTCTCTGCCTGCCTCTCTGCCTACTTGTGATCTCTGTCTGTCAAATAAATAAATAAAATCTTAAAAAATAAAATAAAATAAAATAAAATAAAATAAAATAGTGGTAAAAAGATTAAAGACAATCTGAAGGTCCATTAGTTGTGTTTAGATGAAATAAATCATGGTCCATTTTTATAATAGATTTCTAGGCAGCATTACAAATTTTATAATTGAAAAAAAAAGTGACCTAGAAAAATGTTTATGGTAAGTGGCAAAGGCAGGCTGTAAAACGATACTTTCAACATAAATCCTAATTTGCTACATACATAGTAAAAATACTAGAAGGAAATACATGAAGCTGTGAATAGTAGCTATTCCTGGTGGTAGAATTACGGTTGATTTTGTTCCTTTGTTTAAAAATGGCCCCAAATACTTAAATTTCCCATGTTGTCTCAATATATTTCAAAATATTTATCAGGGTTAAAAGAAATCTTTTAGTTTATAGGCTTTTTTTTCTCATTTTCTTACAACTCCACCCAATACAGGCTTACCAATTTTCAATGGCTGTTATAATTCCTGAAGTAGAGAATACATGAGTATCTCTTGCAAAGACAACTAGTGTGAAGTATAATAGTACCTGAATGGTAAATGTGTCTGTCTACTGCCTCTCTGGTCCACTGGGCTGGACATGGAACAGTGGAAATCTGAAGGTGGCAGTTCACCCTCTCAACAAATATTTCCTTTCATGACCAAGCACGGTTTGGAGCTGAGGGCATACAAAAGTGTGCTAAGACAGGGATGTGAGCAAGCCACAGTGCGAGTCCTGGAAAGAGGATTTATTAAGAATGAGGGGACATATTTGAGAAATGAGACATCTGAGCTGGCCTTGAAGGATCTCCAGGATTTCTCAGGATCAAAAGCATCATAAGCAGAGAAAACTACCCAAGTAAAAGTATGGAGGTATGGAGACACCTGCAGAAAGAAAAGAGGGACAGATAACAGGGAGGAGGGAGGTGTGCGTTGTGTCCTACCTTCTCACTTCCCTTTTATAGTCACTAAGGTGCACAGACCATTCAACGCACAGGATTCCTCAGAATCTACTAGGATATGAAACTCTTCATAAGTTTATACTCCAAGGATTAAATTAGATAAATTCTGCAAGGCAGGGGTCTTGCCTTAATCCTTTTTACATCCCTCATATCATTTTACACATACTACCTACTTATAAATATTTTGGTTACTACTTAAGTTGAATTAAGGCCCAATGATAATATTATAATTCACGTCCTTACATTTTTCCTGAACTTGAAGTTTTCTTGTACACATGACCTCATTCACAAGTTGTCTCCTTGCCTCCTTTTCAAGTCTCAGCTCCTTGTCCTTCTCCGCCAACTTCTTTTCCTTCTCTGCCTCTAATATTCTGTCCAGTTCTTTCTCCTGAGCTCTCTCCTCCTCACGCCGCTGTGCCACATACTGAAGATATATCTCCTGTTCTCTTGCCATCTCTTCCTACAAACAGAAGAATTACCTCACGTTGTTAAAATTGTAGGTGTGATAATGGTATGGAGGATAAGTTTTAAAACAATCTTTTAGAGCTACAATCCCAATTTTTTAGAACTACATAATGAGATATTTATGGATGAAATATTCTCTCTCAGGTTTAGTTCAAAATATTCAAGAGTGGTGGTAGGGAATGGATGGGACACACACATAATACAGAAAGTCCGTTAGCTGGTGGCTGTTGAAGCTAAGTGAAGGACATATGGGCGTTTACTGTGCTATTCTTTGTATCTGCACTTTATAATACATTTTTGAATAAATCAATCCAAATCACTTCAAACACTTTCCCAAACTGTTTTTCAAAGCAGTGTCTGGATAATTTTCAATTATACAGCTTTATCTTTATTTATTTCCATTTAGATAGGTTATGAAATTGTAACCTGATAAAGTAAGTCATTACTATGACAGCACTGCTTCTGACTACAAGATGGTCACTTGATACCTTGGTAACAGACATTCTCAGCCTTAGCTATACTCTGGAATCACCTGGGAGCTTTAAAAAGCACCAAGGGCTGATCCTCACCCTGAGAGTCCGTTCTAATGAACAGTGTTTAAGTTCGCCAAGTGATTTTACATGTGCGGCTCAGGCTGCGAACTGGGCCTTGCAATGCTGGCATTTTTAGTTGGCGTCTCTGTTGTTCATGGTATTATACTTGTGCCGTTCCATCCAATCTCTGTTCTGACTGCTTTTGAGAATATCATAAATCTGGGGGAGGACTGACAAGGTCTGAACTGTACCCTCAGAATAACGTGCACTCATAGTCTCATCCGTGGGGATAAATTTAACAAAAGAAGTGCAAAACTTATACTCTGAAAACTAAGAAACTGAAAAAATAAGTGGAAAGACATCCTATGCTCATGGATCAGAAGACAATACTGGTAAAATGGCAACTGTCTACATTTGGTCTACAGATTCAAAACGATCCCGATCAAAACCCAAAAAGGTTTCTATGCATAAATCCACAAGGAGATTCCAGATTCATATGGCAATGCAAGAGAGCCAGAAAAGCCAAAACAATCTAAAAAAGAATAAAGTTGGAAGATTCACATTTCCTGATTTCAAATTTACTGCAGAGCTACAGTGATCAAGGCATATATATTTATATGTGTGTGTGCTACTGGCATAAGGACGGACACACAGATTAATGGAAAAGAATCAAGATTCCAGAGCTAAACCCTCACATTCACCATCAACTGATTCTGACAAGTGTACCAAGACAATCCTATATGGGAAGAACCGTCTCTTCCAACAATGGTGCTGGGACAACTGGGTATCTACGTGCAAAAGAATGAAGTTGGACCCCTACTTCACAACATACACAAAAGTTAACTCAAAATGGATCAAAGGCCTAAATGGGAGAACTAAACCTATAAAACTTTAAGAAGAAAACAGAGGACCGCCATCTTCTTGACCTTGGGGGTAGGAACTGACATTTAGATATAACACTAAAAGCACAAGCAACAAAACAAAATGTAGATACATCGGACTTTATCAAAATTAAAACTTTTGTACTTAAAGGGATACCTTTAATAAAGTGAAAAGACAACCCACAGGATGAAAAAAAAATATTTGCACAGAGTTTATGGGTAAGGGACTTGTATCTAGAACATATAAAGAACTATTACAACTCAGTAATAAAGTCAAATAATCCAATTAAAAATTGGGAAAATGATTAGAATAGATTTCTTGAAATTTCGAATAGGTTCAAATAGATTTCTCCAAAGAAGATATACAGATGGTGGATAGGCACAGAAAAAGAAGCTCAACATCACTACTCATTAGGGAATGCAAATCAAAACCACAATAACAGATCACTTCAGACACACTAGGACGGTTGAAATAAAAGAGACAAACAATAACAAGTGCTAACAAGCGTGTGGAGAAATCAAAACCTGCGACACTGCTAGTGAGAACATAAAATGGTGAAACCACTTTGGAAAACAATTTGGCAAGTACTCAAAAACTTAGGGTTACCTTGGGACTCATTAATTCTACTCCTAGGTATATGCCCAAGAGAAGCAAAAACCTATGTCCAAACAAAAATTTATATGAGAATATTCACAGTAGCATTATTTATAATAGCCCCAAAAATGCAAACAAATCAAATATCCATAGGCTGACAATGAAACATGGTGCATCGGTACAGTGAAGAATTATTCAGCCATATTAAAGAATGAACTATTCATACATGTTACAACATGGATAAGCCTTGAAACATTATGCTAAGTGAAAGATACCAGTCAAAAGGTCACAAAATATATAATTCTATTCATAATAAAGTCCACAATAGCAAATATATAGAGACAGAAAATACATTAGTAGTTTCTTAGGAATGGGGGTAAGGAGGGTCACCTGGGTGGCTCAGTTAAGCTCAGGTCATGATTCCAGGGTCCTGAGATCCAGCCCCAAGTTGGGCTCCCTGCTCAGCAGGGAATCTGCTGCTGGTTCTCCCTCTGCCCCATCCCCCGCTGTGTGCATTCTCCAACCCTCCCTCTCTCTTTCAAATAAATAAATAAATCTGGAAAAAAAAAAGGAATGGGGGCAAGGCGTGGAGAAGAGGGAAGAGTGAGATAATAAAAAGTTCTAAAATTGACTGTGGTGATGGTTGTACACTTATGTGAATATACCAAAAAGCCACTGAATATATATTTGAAATGGGAAAATTTTATGAATTATACCTTAATGAAGCTGTTAAAAAATAAAATAAAATGATCTAATGGAGAACAAAAAACTCAATAACAAAAAAAAAATGAAAGCAAGAAAAGAATCCAATTAGAAAATGGGAAAGAAATATGAGAAAACATTTCACTGAAGAAGATATACATATAGCAAATAAGCACATGAAAAATTGATCAACATCATTGGTTATTATGGAAATGTAAAATAAAAAAACAATGAGATATCACTCTACATCTATCTGTAGAGCTAAAGTAAAGAAGAGTGCCACCACCAAATGCTGGTAAGGATGTGGAGAAACTCAATCATCCATTCATTGTTGGTAAGAATGTACCATTACTGATCACATGGTAAAGCTACTGTGAAAAACAGCTTGGCAGTTTTCTTTAAAAACAAAACAAAACAAAACAAACAAGCAAACAAAAAACCAAACATGCAATCACAACTAACCTTCAAGGCCTTTTTCCCATAGAAACAAAACTTTGTGTTCACACAAAAACCTGTACATAGGTAAATGGTAAAAACAGACCGTGGTGCAGTCTTACCATGAACACTACTTGACAATAAAAATAAACACTACTAATACATTCAATAACCTGGATAAATTTCCAGAGAATGACGCTGAATGAAAATGTCAATAAAAGGTTACATACTATAGAACACTCTTGAAATGACAAAATTGTGGAATGGAGAACAGGGAAGCAGTCGCCAAGGATTAAGAAGGGGATGAAGACAAGAGGGAAGTGGATGTGGCCAAAGAAGGATTCTTCAGAATCCTTGTGATGGGAATGTTCTGTATCTTGACAGTTCAATGTCAATATCCTGGCTGTGATATTATCCTATAGTTATTCAAGACATCATAGAGAAAAACTGAATAAAAGGTCCATGGCATCTCTATGTATTATCTCTTTGTATTATTTCTTTCAACTGCATGTGAATCTATAATTATCTATAATTATCCCAAAATAAAAAACTTAATTAAAAAAATAGTAGAAGGTTCCTGGTTTCCAATCTGGTATATAAGGAGCTTTAAAGGTGCCACTCTAGCATTCTAACAACAAGTAAAAAGCTTAACAAATCAGCTTTTAATTTTAACTTAATAAATCAACAATCTTGGGGCTCCTGGGTGGTGCAGGCTGTTAAGCGTCTTGGTTTCGATTCAGATCGTGATCTCAGGGTCATGAGACCAAGCCTTGTGTTAGGCTCAGTGCTCAGCATGTTCTCTCTCTCTTTCTCTCTCTCTCAGAAATAAAAAAAAATCAATCTTAAAAAGAAATCAACAATCTTGGTTCCATAAGAGCAGTGAGGTCACAGGGCAAACCACTGCCCCCAGATTGGAGAGACAAGTAAATACAGACAATCACAAATTACCATAGTGGAAACCCATGAGCAGAAACTTCTATGAGAACCAGCTTCTGCTCATGCTGGGATAGGAAAACCTGAAACTGATGAATTGCTAGAGGCTCCGTGCAGACACTTCTAAGAGTTAAAACTCTAAGGGGACCCAGTCATGAAAGGTGGAGGAGACCACACTTTTGGGAGTTTTACCTCCTGAAGCTCTACCCAGTTCTCACAGTGAATATCAGAGAAAAAGCCTTTCATGCTTCCCGCAGCAGAAGAAATGGAATCATTTTGAAATACACCACCAGAACATGCTGTTCTTAGGTTTGCTCTCAGGAGCAAATATTTAACCAGAGCCTAACCTGCTCCGGTTTTTATCTGAGCCTGACTAACCTGAGAGGAGGGAAATCCCAACTCCAGGACCCCTGTAGCCTTCCATGCGGAAAAACAGAAACACCATAATCAAGGATTCCAATGACAAGGGAGAGTCCAGACCCAAAGGCACCAGCTCTGAAGACAGAGGGAGAATCCCTTCCTCCGCTTGCCTGGATTTTTATGGCTTGGAGCTGACCTCACCCTTCTATTGTAGTTATTACCACAAAGGCTCAAAGCCAGCAGAACACACTAGATGAGACCTGAGTCCTCTGTAACATTGGTGTGGTCCAATGGGTCTATCACATCTCTGAACATAGCAACTCAGAGGACCCAGATTTTATCTCCAGTCTTGAAGAGGTCCCAATTGTCCATAAATCCAGATAATTCTTCTTATAGACAACCCCCCTCCCAAATTAACAGGGCCATGTGCCTCCACTTTGTGGGGACCTCCCATACTATTTAGCAGGCACTGGAAGGAGTAAACTTGATGGCACCCCATGAAAGAGACACTTAACTAGACTCCCAGGTTTTATAATACCAAGGCAGCCCACAAGCCCAAGGCTAGCTTTCAGGTAGCCTTGGGCTTGCAAGCCTGTAACCCACCCTGTACAGCAACCTTCCTGTCTCCTGGTGTGGAGCTCCCATGCCAAATCTGTCAGGAAGCAATGTCTGAGACATTTTAAATAGCAGGGAGCCTTGTACTAGCCCCTCCACCAATTGGGGGTGCCTAGCGATCTTATATTGAGACAAATATGAAGTAAGCTCCTCTCTTTAAAACAAGTGATTACCTCACTACAGAGCCCAATGTTAATGTCTCAGAGGCCTTCAGAGATCCCAAGGCTCCCTCTCTCCCAAACAACATCCCTGACGGCAGGCTTGACAGTCTCCCAGAAAATGACCCTAGGGATTTGGCAGTTCCTCAGAGTTTGTCCCATCTGCACAGTTGTCCACTTACGACTCTGGTGGCCCACACAAAGGCAAAGGCAATCACCAGACATTCTTGGCTCTATTAGACACAGAAGCCCAAGTCACAGTGATTCTAAACTCAGTCATGGACACCATGCATTCCTTTCCAAGGTGCACCCCTGGCAACTCCACAGAGCTCACTGAGATCGCTCAACTAGCAATAGAGCCCATACCTGGGGTTCCACCCTGGGCCAGGCCTCTAGTATGTACAGTTGACCCTGACTGTGGAAATGCAAAATGCTACAGCCACTTTGGAAGACAATTTGGCAGTTTCTTAGAAAACTAAACATACTCTTACCATATGACCCAGCAACTACACTCCTTGGCATTTACCCAAATGATCTGAAAACATACAGCCACACAAAAGCCGGCACACAAATGTGTATAATAGCTTTAGTCATAATCACTAAAACCGGAAGCAACCCAGGATATCCTTCAGTAGGTGACTGGATAGTCTGTGCTCCATCCACACAATGGAACATTATTAAGAGTGAAAAGGAAATGAGCTGCAGAGTCAGGAAAAGGTATGGAGGAAACTTAAATGCACAGTACTTGGTGAAATAAGTGAATCTAAAAAGGCATCATCATACTGTATGATTCCAACTTGATGACATCCTAGAAAAGGTGAAACTGTGGAGACAGTAAGAAGATATGTAGTTTCTATGGGTTTGGAGTCAGGGGAAAGGAATGAACCAGGGGAGCACAGAGGATTTTAGGATAGTGAAATTACTGTATGATACTTTCATGGTGGCTACGTGTCACCTTACATTTGTTCAAACCCATAGAATGTACAACACCAAGAGTAAACCTTCACGTAAACTATGGACTCTGGGTGATACGGACATGTCGATGTGGCTTCATCAGTGGTAACAAATATCCACTCTGGTTGGGGGATATTGGTAGCACAGGAGGCTACGTCCTATGTAGGGGCAGGGGGTACATGGGAAATCTCTGTATCTTTCACTTAATTTTGCTCTGAACCGAGAACTGCTCTAAAAAGTAAAGTTTATTTTTAAAAAGAAACAAACAAACAAAAAATAGTACCTATGGGAAAGGCACAACGACCTCAATATTTCAATACAAATTTCAAAAGAACAGACAACAGAATACATACCCAACGCTTTTCTCTACTCTCTGCCTGACAAAACTTTACATATCTTTCAAGGTCCAACTCGAATACCACTTCTTCAGTGACATTTTTGCCAGCTTCACGGCATACTTAGTCACCCACTTCCTTCTCTCCCATCCTGCTATCACAATGCCAACTCCACCTTATAGGCGGGCTCCAAATTCAATGGAGAATTGAATTCATAAGAATCCCCTGGGGGAGCTTGTTGAAACAGAGTTCTTGCCCCTGCCAAGATTTTTATTTGGAGACTCTGATTCTGAAGGCTATGAATTTCTACTTCTAACATCCTCCCAGATGATGCTGATGTTGCTGGTTTATGGCCCACACTTAAGAGTAGCATAGTATGGTTCACATGTGGCTGGCTCCTGTAAGACTGAAAGCTGAGCGAGCTATCTTGTTCAGCACATAGTAGTAGCACATTTTGAACAAACATCTTACTCTTTTTTGCTTCTTTTTATCAGCATCTTCCTGTAAGTCTTGAAGGGCCCTTTGCACAAGCTTCATGTCCAAATCCTGTTCTTCTCTATATTCCTGCTGAATATGTTCTATCTTCTCTTGGAGGGCTTTCTGCAAAGCAGCCCTAATTTCCTGTTTTGCCTTCTGTTTCTTTAGCTTATCCTGTTCATTCTCGAGTTTCACCTGTGCCTTGTCATTTTCCTAAGGCAAAACAATAATGAAGATTATGCATCGGTACAGTTGGACAAAACAAAACAGAAGGTAAATCATTTCACTTAAGAGACTGAGAATCAAGTGTCTCTTGGAGATACACACACCTGAATTTAGAGGGACTGTAAGATGGAAAACTTGACTCTTCATTGCCGAGTCAGGAATAGCACTTTGTGCTGTGCATGATTATGAAATAATAAATGGTTGTGGAGTTCAAAATACAGAAAAGTATAGAGAGAAATCACCTTTAATCCTAGTATCCACCACCCATTACCACACTCAACATTTCAGTGTATTGGCCTTCTAGACTTTACTCTTCTATGTACACCTGCCACATCCAGATATGGACACATTATTAAGGAGCTATAGGAGCCCCAAACTGGAAATGTGCCATCAGCCACATATACAAAATTAAATTGTATGCACTTTGTTTTTTAAAAGTATTCCCCCATTCCTTTCATTTTCTTACCTTTCTGATCCTCTGAGGTAGCTTAACCGCCTGGCCAATCAAGCAGTTTTAACTAGGGCACCAATATTGTCAGGAATTGTGGGTTTGCTAGAAAATCTGGGTACAGTGTAAACTGCAGCATTAGTCCTTGTTCCAGAGGCAGCTGAGCAGTCCTGGAGGGAAAAGTACTTGCCCAGCTGGGACAAGAGATGACATGGCAACAGTGAGGATGGTATACAATTCCCAGTGTGATTTAACTGAGATTCACAACAGCCACAGTCATCATGATCACTGGTTTGTGAGAAGACAGTTATGTGCTAGCCTTTCCTATTAATGTCATGAATGGTAAATCCTGAATTGTGAGGGTCAAAAGAAAATGTGAAAATCCTCTGCTACATCTAAGGAGAAGCAATGGCTATCAAAAATGAAAGTCAGTGTAACAGCAGGCCACATTTTTTTTTAAAGTAAGCCTGACTACACCAGGACGAAGCAGTCAGCCAAATCCCCGTTATGAGACATGGGGGAGATAGGATAGGACAGGAGAGAAGAGTTCAAGATTAAGAGACCTAAAAGCAGTTCATCAGGTCTTGATTTCTCCAGGGTAGTTCTGACTGTGCACCTGTTGTGCTAATGTAATGAATTTATGGCACCCCTTTCAACCTCAATTGTGCCTTCTTTGAATAAGATAGAGTCCCCCTTTCTAGAGAGACTATAAGAACATGTTTGATTCTGATTTAAATATCTAATAGTTCAGACAATGATGGAAATTTGATATTGATTTTAGATAATAAAAAGGAATCACAGTTAATTTTTTTAGGTCTGATATTGGCATGTATAAGAAAATGTTCTTAATCGTGTCATTAAGACACATACTTGACATGTATTTAAGGGGGAAATGACATGCCTGAGGCACCCCAGCATCCCCGTAAGACTATCTTTTGTACCCTCATGTAATGACTGGTGGTGGGAGCCCCTCCATAACTTCAGGTGGGGGCTGGTAACCAGAAAGACCAAACCATATGATTAGAGGGTTGAGACTTTCAGTTCTAGATGCCCTCGACCTCCAGAGAAGAGAGGGACCAGAAATTGAGTCCAGTCATCGATGGTAAATGACTCAATTAATCACGCCTATACAAGAAAACCTCCATTAAAATGCCAAATAATAGGGTTGGTGAACACATGGAGGTATTAGGAACACAGTATGCCCAGAGAGGGTGTGCAAGCTCTGTGTGTTGCCCACCATACCTTGTCCTATGCATCTCTTCCATTTGCCTGTTTCTGGATTGTACCTTTTACAATAAACCAGTATATAGCAAGTAAAGCACTTTCTGGGGGTGTCTGAGTTATTTTAGTGAATTATCAAACTTAAGGGGAGCTAAGAGAAACTCTGATTTTGTAGCCCAGTTGGACAGAGGTGTGGGTACCCTGAGGACCTACCACTTGTGACTGGTCTCTGGAGTCCAAGCAGTCTTCTGGGACTGAGCCCTTAAACCTGTGGAGTCTAACGCTATCGCTGGTAGCTAGTGTCAGAATCCAATCAAATTATAGGTCACCTAGTTGGTAGGGCCCATGGAGAATTACAGAATTCTTTGGTGTGAGGAAAAAACCCACACATTTGGTGTCAGAAGTATTGTGAGTAAAAATGACTCACTAGATATCTTACAACAGAAGTAATTTGGGGGCCACCATTTCAATTTTCTTAGAGAAGCGAAAATATTTAGACATCTTCAAACTCTCCAAAAGAAAATAGTCTCAAACCCAGGAAGATTTTTAGGGCTCTGAAGTATCTTAGCTTTAGCATTTCCTATGGTTCTAAATTTCAATACTTGGGACTTCCCAGGAAAATACACATTTTCCTAAATTTGGTTGACATTGAAGTACTAGTTGCTGGAAGCTTTATATACATATAGAATTGCTTCTTTTTTTAGTGCTTTCATACATTTCCAGTGACAGTTCTAATTTCTCTATAGTAGGGGCAATGACCTTGTTGGAACAAAATGATTGATTTTGGTGGCTGGGGCAGAGGGGCCACTGTAGCTGTTGCATAGCACTTTACATAGGATTGGGAAACTGTCATTTATCCGTATCAAAGAATGGGGGGATGTTGCCAAACTGCCACCAGCCCTTCATGGTATTGCCCATGATTATTATATTTCATCCTCACAACAAAGACAAGTGCCTTTTGCCTCACTTTTTAGAGAAAGAGACCAAGTCGCAGTAGTGAAATAACTTGCCCTGTCCGATGGGATGGCACTGTTGACTGGGCCTTGGAATCCAAGGCTCTGACCATAGTCGTTGCCCGGGGAACTATCCAGGCCATGAGGCAAAGGACATGGTAGCAGGCCTACAAACTGCGTACTATACCCATTGAGTGGATCATCCCACAACAAGCATCATAAAAGGCCCACCACAAAGCGTGCCTCCTCTTCTTTCAGCTGCTGCTCGGCCTGCCTCTGCGCTTTGATGCTCGTGATCTGGGCATTAAGGCCCAGGCGTGTGTTCTCCACCAGCTCTTTCTGCCTCCTCGCCTCTTCAGCTTCTCGCTTTTCCTTGGTTAATCGGTCTTCCTCCCAGAGCTTTGAGAACATCTGCTCTTCCACCCGTTTTTGCCTTTTCAGCTCTTCGTTGAAAGCTACCTGTGCTTTCCGCTCCTCGCTCACCTTCTTCTCATGGATACAAAACAATTCAGCACGGAGCTCCTCACACCGTTCTCTGAAAGGAAATTTTTTTTTTTTTTTTTTTTTTGTCAGAGAGAGTGAGCACAGGCGGACAGAGTGGCAGGCAGAGGCAGAGGGAGAAGCAGGCTTCCTGCTGAGCAAGGAGCCCCATGTGGGACTTGATCCCAGGACGCTGGGATCATGACCTGAGCCGAAGGCAGCCACTTAACCAACTGAGCCACCCAGGCGTCCCTGAAAGGAGAATTTTTAAGAGGCAAAACCCAGCCTTTCATGAGACACTGCTCTATTTAAGCACACATCTGCACAGACACTGAAGTATGAAAAGTGAAAGACCTAAAGGTAGGCCACCAGAGCTGAGAAGACATGTGAGGGGCAGCAGGGAGACCAGCATGAGGGCACAGACAAAACACAGGCACCGAAGTCTGGCCAAGCAGACTTTGAAACCGCGATCTGACATTTCTGTGTGACCGTGGATCAAAAACTCGACCTATCTGAGCCTGTTTCTTTATCTGTAAAACAATTCTCTTTCAAGGTTCTGGTAAGGATCAGAGAAAATGGATGAAATTATCTGGTAGATGACAGAAGCTAAATAAATGGTAACTATTATTATGATCGCAGAGGAAACAGAAGAGGCATGGGTCCCTGCAATATTACACGTAGACTAAGGCTTTGGTAGGAAGAGGCCCTGAAAGCCAAGAAAAGAACTAAGGGTCAGCATATCACGGTAAAGCTGCCCCAGTGCCCCTGGATTCCTGGTGGGACCCATGTCACTGATGGGGTTTCTGCCAGAGCTGGGAAAATAGCCCAAACGCTACCTTTTCATATCTAGGCTTATGTCACCATTCCAGAAGAAATGCTCTCTCTGTAAGTGTTTAGGCCTCGTCCTTCCTTTCAGTCTTAGTAATTCAAATTTCCTCAGAAGTTCTTCCTTGAGCCTGTTTTTAGTTTAAGGGCTATGATATTCAATACTGTCCACACTTTAGAATTACTTAGGGGTATCTTTAAAATCCCACTCTCCACTTCTTCCCTCTGCTACTCCCAGTCCAGACTAGTTAAATCAGAATCTCTGGGGGCAGAATCTAAGCACCTATATTTTTTCAGAGCGCCTCAGAAACTTCTGGCATATAGTCAAGTTTGAGAACCTCTGATTCAAAGTAATGCTTATAAAACACCAAGTCTTCCTAGTTTCATCAAGTTCAGCACCAAGCAGCTGAAATTTGAGAATTGGCTCGATAAAGAACTTCAAAGAATTTTAGTTGCTAAGATTGAAAGAAAGGTTGATGTCTAAAACTACAAGCATGGTCAATACACAGAAATTGACATTTATCAGATATGGTTAAGTATTGCTCAACATTTGATGAGGGCATTTGATGAGTCTCATTTCCCTGACTAAAGGGGAATCTCTGTGAGGGCTGGGACTCAGGAACATATTTCAGGAATATATTCTCCATACTACCTACCCAATGTCCATTAAATAATTGTTGGTTAAATTGATATACAGTTATTCTTATTAGCAAAATAATGGTAACTGGCAGTTATCTATATTCTGTGGAAAGCTCAAAAAGATTACAGAAGCTGAAATTGCTAGGTTATCAAAAACAAACAAAAAAACCACTTTAACACTGAAAAATAAATTTATCAGTGAAATTCTATCAGAATTGGCCATGACAACAAATTAAAGTTTTTCCTAATCCTATGACTTATACTCTGGAAAAGTTATTCAGTTAATGAAAAACTGAAGCCTAAGAACAATAAGTATGGCTTATGATATTTAAAAAAAAAAAAAAAAACTTTCTGGGGCGCCAGGGTGGCTCAGTCGTTAAGCATCTGCCTTTGACTTTGGTCATGATTCCAGGGTCCTGGGATCAAGCCCTTCATCAGCTCCCTGCTAAGTGGAGGGCCTGCTTCTCTCTCTCCCTCTGCCTGCCGCTCTGCTTACTTGTGTTCTCTGTCTCTCTGTCAAATAAATAAATAAAATCTTTTTTTAAAAAAACTTTCTAATTACAAAACTAATACATGCAGAAAAACTGGGAAATACAGAAAAGAATGAAAACAATAAATATATGCTTAATCCCTCTCCCCAGAGATAACTGCTTTTACTATGTTAGTGTATTTCATTCTAGTCTTGTGTGTGTGCATTTTTATTAGAATTGGGGTTATTCTGTATATCTATGTACTTATATTGATATTTCCTTATATCTTAATTTTTCCACCTAACATTATTTTGGGAATGTCTCTTCATGGAATCTTCTTAAAACACCTAACCTCAAAATTTTATTATAGTTTACTAAACTATGTAATAGAGGCTAGAGCCTTTAAATATATCAATTTGTTTAAATATTTCCTTGTTTGATGAATGTATAGGTTACTTCTAACTCTTACAATAATGTTGCAATGAATATTTATAAATGTAGCTCTTTCTGCTTATCTCTGATGATTACCTAAGGTATTCCTTTCCTTAATATAAAATCAGAGTACAGGGGTACCTGGGTGGCTCAGTGGGTTAAAGCTTCTGCCTTCAGCTCAGGTCATGATCTCAGGGTCTGGGATCAAGCCCCGCATTGGTCTCTCTGCTCAGCGGGGAGCCTGCTTCCCTTCCTCTCTCTCTGCCTACCTCTCTGCCTACTTGTGATCTCTGTCCGTCAAATGAATAAATTAAAAAATATATTTAAAAAAATCAGAGCACAAAAATGTTGGCAGGCACCTGATGATGTACTTATATTGATATCTTCTTAGAACTCAGAAAGCCTGAATTAACACTGTACGAAGGTGTCCATATCAAGTATTTCTTTAGATCAGTAAATCTTCAAACTTTGATTAGGTATCCTTTTCAGTAAAAAAAAAAAAAAAAATTCTAAGCACCCACAAACAGGTAGGATTATTACTTATAAACTGTATGCAATTATTACTATATTACTATATCACCTAAATTATTAAATATAGCAAAAACAAAAACCAAGACAGATGAGATTTAAATAAAAAACATCAAATATTTCCTCCCTACATCCTAATGATTCACCTATTCACTTAACCTTGAGAACACTTGACTCAGGGAAGCTCTTTTTTATCTATAGATAAAAGCGTATCTCTCTATTTTAATTATAGTAATCATTGATAAGAGGAAAACCTTATGTTTGTGAGTGTTTCAAATAGTACTTTCACAGTAAAATCTTATTTTATCCTCACATGTGTCTTACAACTTAGATGGAGCAGCAAGTATTATTCCCATTTTGAAGTTACAGCAATTAAAACTCAGGGAAACTTAATGTCTTCCCAAGCCACATGGCTAGTAGTTGTAATATTACTAGCAACAGTTACTAAGTGCTTATTATTTGCCCAGTGCTGTTCTGAGCAGTTGACATGTTATGAACTCTTGTAATATTCATAACAACCAATGTTGCAACATCACTCCAAGTTCATTCTTATTATTATCTCCAGGTTAGATAAAATGGAAGCACAGAGCAGTTAAGCATCATGGTTAAGTTCATACATTTCATATGTGCTAGAGCTGGGACTGAAGACCTGGTAGTCTGGCCCTGGAATCTGGATTCTTTGGTACTTCATTCTATCACCTCTATCAGTAATTAACAGAGGCAAGACAATTCTCGAGTGCTCTGACAACACATCTTAGGGTAGTCCTTTAATAAAAACACAAAAACAAAATAAAGCCAAAAAATGTCTACTTTAATCTGGGATCTAATCACTAATTGCATATAAATATAGGACACTTAAAAACAAATTTCAGGGGTGCCTGGGTGGCTCAGTGGGTTAAAGCCTCTGCCTTCGGCTCAGTTCATGATCTCAGGGTCCTGGGATCGAACCCCACATCAGGCTCTCTGCTCGGCGGGGGGCCTGCTTCCTCCTCTCTCTCTCTCTGCCTGCCTATCTGCCTGCTTGTGATCTCTCTCTGTCAAATAAATAAAAATAAAATCTTTAAAAAAAAAAAAATTTCAGGGGATGTCTGGGTGGCTCAGTGGGTTAAGCCTCTGCCTTCAGCTCAGGTCATGATCTCAGGGTCCTGGGATGGAGCCCCGCATTTGGCTCTCTGCTCAGCGGGGAGCCTGCTTCCCCCTCTCTCTCTGCCTACTTGTGATCTCTGTCAGATAAATAAATAAAATCTTAAAAAAAAAAAAAAAAAAAAAACAGCTCTAGCTGCCATCTTGCGTCCCTGCGTGTGTGCACCTAATCTCAGCTGGTCTGACAGACACCACCTAAACGCCTACCCTACTCCCCCCCGGGGCAGTACAATTTCTGCTCCTACAAGATTGATGAAAGAAACTATCACCCACCAGGACAACTCACCTAACTGCAAGCACAAGTGCACATTGGTGGGAAAGGAACTGCTCACCAAAAGAAGGTGGTTCACAGAAGAGTATAGCTAATGATAAAAACCTTCAGTTATCCTTAAAGAAGTTAGGGGTATACAATACCTCTGGTATTGAAGAAGTGAATAGTTCACAAACCTAGGAACAGTGATGCGCTTTAACAACCCCAAAGTTCAGGCATTGCTGGCAGTGAATACTTTCACCATCACAGGCCACGCTGACACAAAGCAGCTGATGGAAAAGCTAGCTGGTATCTTAAGCCAACTTGGTGCCGACAGTCTGACCAGTTGAAGAAGACTGGCTGAAGCTCTGCCCAATCTGTGGATGGAAAAGACCCACTTGCTGGGAGAAGGAGGATGAAGTTCCAGATCTTATAGAGAATTTTGATGAAACTTCCAAGAATAAGCAAACTGAATTGAGTCAATTTCTGAAGAAGATAAAACTTGAAGAAGTTACTGGGATCTATTATTTTTATTATGACTGCTTTTTAAAAATTTTATCCCTGGATCTGGTAAAATCTAGATCTCTAATATTTTTAAGCCAAGCCATTGGACACTGCAGCTCTTTTCAGTTTTTGCTTGTGCACAATTCATTTTTGGCAGCTAATTAAGCTGAAGAAGCCTGGAATAAAGTTTGAAACAAGGTTAATAAAGTTCTTTGCCTAGAATACAATTTTATTTTTTATTTCACTGACACTGATTTGTACACA